TAATGTGTTATTAAAGATTTTTAACTAACAAATTTTTAGTTAAGTTTTGTGTAAGTGATTGACGGAAAGAGTTGTATCATTATAGTGATTATAGATTTCATTGGTATGAAAATAAAAAACATAAAGCAAAATATTTTTGTATTAATAAGAAAAGAAATAATGAACAAGCAATCGAATTTAAATTAGCACACGATCAAAAAACAGGAAATATGAATGAAAAAGAAGTACAATATTAATTATTTTTAAGTAATTCTAAAAATGTTTGCTATAAATTATTTTTATATTTTTGTCTAAAAATAAATTCTTTTAATAAAGGTTCAATAATATTTTTTCTTCTTTTTGATTTTAGAATAAAATCTTTTAATAATTTTCAAGTATTTTCGATATAATTTGAGTATATCTTTCTTAATCTTTGTTTTTGTGTTAATTATTGTAAATGATTTATTCTAAAATATTTGTATCCAAGTTTTTCTAAACTTTGATATCCTTTCCAATAGTTAGTATAAATAGTCGAACCAATTTTTATATATTTTTTAATTAGTTTTATTAATATTTCTGTATTACAATTTTCTACTATAACAAAAAATATTTCTTTTCTTTTGTTCTTTCAATTCTACTAAAAACCCAAAAATTTTCAAATAAGCTTTCGTCTAATTCTACTAAATACCAGATCCACCAATAATATTATCCTCTATTTTTAATAAATTAATAGCTAATTGTTTAAAATTTTTGATAAATTGACATATAGTTAATCATGCAATTTTAGTTATATTGTGAATTTGCAATATTTGAAGTTTATGAATCCAATAATAACCAATTAATAAAATATCATTACATTTTAATTGATGCGAAAAAAATGAATTTTTAAATACTGTAATCATTTTTTTTACAGCTAGTATTTTTGTATTTAAATATATTTTCTTTAAGATACAGATATGTTTCACTATTACAAAATTAACATTTTTCAGGTTATTAAATTATTTTTTGTTCAATTAAAAACTTAATATATTCTTTTTCTTCAAAGAAAATTTTATATAAAGATTTTAAATTTGGAATATTTATTTTTTTTAGAAAAATAAAATAGATTTTTTTAAAAAAAAATAAAAATAAAAATAAATCTATTTATATAAATTATTTTTATTTATTTTTTATATACAAATTTAATTAAAATTTTATATATAGCTTATTGTAAAACATAAAATATTAATATAAATTAAAATAAGAGAATTGCTAATCTTAACTGGGAGAAATTTCCCGGTTATATGATCTGCATATTGACCAATGATATCTAATGATATCACAGATCAATTTTATATAAAATAATATATATATTTTTTATATTTATATTTTATATCTAATATTATATAACAAATATTTTTAATGCATCGTATACAACAAACGTGACAAATACAGCAAACTAATTCTATTCTAATACTTAATTCTAAAATTTAACCCATATTCTTCTAACCCGACCCTAATCTTCAATAACTGCTTTAACCCTAACTTCCAACAAGCTATTTCAACATCCAATATAGTTACTCCAAGCCAACCCTAACCTTTAAAACAACCACTAATCAGGATCTTTTATTTTCCCACCAATTTCAATTGTGACTAATCACAACAGCTCCTAAAATGGCCAAATCAACAAAAGTTAGTACCTCCAAGAACAACAAAATCAGGAAACAGCAGAAATATATTAACAACGATACCAGAAACTACGGCAGCAAATAACAACTCAGTTACCCAGTTACTTTAAAAAAAAAAAAATACTGATTAGTAAAGAGAAGAGTAACGTGTACAAAAAAAGATAACAGCAAAGTAATGACAGCATCTACAAGACAACAGAATGCATTAACAGGCGATAACATATTGGACCTAGCTGCTACACCAAAATTGTCACAGCAAATTCTTGATTTTGCTAAGAGTGACGATCAAAAATTAAGGCTGAAGTTAAAATTTTGCTAATGAAATTTTTACTATTGTACGGGCCTTTTTCTCTAAACATTTTTATTTTCGGAATGAGAAGTTATAAGGTTAATTCTGGCCAAAAATTATGTAGATAATATATAATATAGGCCAAAATCACGGTTATTAGCCATTCAAAATCGAGAATCTGCTGTGACAAAATTGATGCAGCAGCCAGATCTGATGCAATAATAGTGTCAACCACACTGACAAATGACGAACGACAAGTGAAAATGTAGCGACAATACCTACGAAACATACGAATGCGACAACATCAGAAAATTCTACGCAACTATACTGCCAAACAACACAACCCCAGGACGCAACTTATAAAGCTAAAAAAAAAAAACGTCAAACAAAAGAATAGTTAGAGAAAAAAAAGCTACAAGAACAAAAGAAAAACCAAACCGATACCTTATATGGACGACTCAACGACGCAACATAATAACGAAACCTATGAACATGAAAACAAAAGAATAGTTAGTAAAGAGAAGAAAAAGCCACAAGAACAAAAGAAAAAAACCAAACTGATACTTATATAGATGACCCAACGACGCAACGCAATGCAAAACTTACAAACATGAGAATTTGATAACACCAAGCAATTATGACAGAAAACGATGATAGCACCAAAATACGACGACCCAAGCAAAATGAAGCACACGAAGAGCACCAAAGAATGACACTACCAAACAGGACAATACCGAAAAATGATGCTATCGAAGAACTACGAAATGGAAAGAAGGTAGGTTTAAAAGAAATAGGCGCTATAAAAGAAAAGAAACTACTAAATTCAATATGCCAATAAAAAAAAAAACCATATATATAAAAAAAAGAAAAATAAATAAATATATATATAGATTAGTGATCTGGATATCAGTGTAGATCACTGATCTGTGTAACCAGGAAATTCCCTCTGGTTAAACATAGTAATTCTCTTAAAATAAACTAAAATGAATTTTTTAGTTTTATCTCAACACAACTATTTTATTATAATAATGTAATTTGTTTTTTTGTTTTTTTTAAAAAAAATTATTATTAACTTTTTTTAATTTATAGGTCTATTTAAACTAAATACGTTTAAAAAAAGAATATGAAAAATTAGAAAAAGAATAAGAAAAAAGAGAGAAAGAACAAAAAAAATTTTAAAAAAATATAAAAATTTAAGAAAAGAAGCTCAAAATCATTATAATATTCTTCAAAAGAAGCTCAAGAAAGATATGAAAATCTAAGAAAAGATGCTCAAAAAAATTATAAAAATTTAAGAAAAGATGCTCAAGAAGAAAAAAAAAAGTTACAATGAAATTATTTTTTTAAATTTGTTATATTTTTTTAGATATTATTGTTTTTGAGTATTATGGTATTAAAAATTAGATTTATGATAATTTAACTTATGAATTTGTTGAAGAAGTTGTTCTTCTTTTGTTGTTAGAATTATGAATATTTATTCTAATTCTAATCAATATTTAACTATTTCGTAATTAGTTTTTTATTTTTTATTTTATTTATTTATTTATTTATTTTTTTATTTTTTTTAATAATAAAATTGTTATTTTTATATAAAATAATTTTTAATAAATTAACAAATTTTAAAACTAAAAAAAAAAACAATTTAAAAAAAAATTATAGTAAAATAAAAAAATAATAAATATTTAATGATTGTAAATTGTGAAGAGCTGACTAATATTCATTTTAACAAGTTTTTTATTTTTTTCTAAGTTAGAAACTCATTTTTCAAGAGATAAAATATGTTCTTTATTGTTTTTAACAATATAATTTAGTCTTTTAATTTTATCAACATAGTTAGAAGGTTTTACTGAAATACAAATCAAATTTTCTTTAAACATCTTTTACAAATTTCTTGATTTTCACTAGAAGATGAACATTTAATTTGCATTTCTCTACATGTAAAGTACCGTGTTTTAGATATACAATTTGGTTTTTTTTGAAATTGATGGTATTTTTAAGCTATTTTGTTTAAAAAATAAGTGATTTATTGAATATTTATATATTTTAAAGAATTAAAAAAAATATAAATATTTATAAACAAATAAATAAATTTAATTTTTATAAAATGAAATAAATTTTTTATAATTAGGATTTGCTAAATCTCATAACCGACTATGTTCTTTTGTTTTTCAATTTCTTTATAGCCTATATAATTATAAACTAGATAATCATTATCTTTAACAAATCCTCCAAATCGTATAATATATAAATCTTTTTGTTCAAGAATAATATAAAGATTACAATTAATAATATTTAAAAAATCTTTATAAAAAAAATTAGAAAACTTTTTTTCTTTTTCTTTTTGTTTTTTCTTTTTTTGATTAAACTAATTAAAGAATTAATTTTGTTAATAATTTGTTCTTCATATTTTTTACAAATTTTGTTATCTTCTGTTTTTAAAATAATTTTTTCAATTTTTTTTTGAACAAATAAAATAAAAGAATAGTATTGAAAATTAAATTTAAATCCTTTATATTCAAAACGATTCTCACAATATTCTTTTAATATATTAAATTTAAAATTGATATCAACAATTGTTTGTTGTTTTTCTCTTTTATATTCTTTTCTACAAATACAAAGCTTTTTTTAATTTTATTAAAAACTGAATAATAACTATTATATTTGTGAGCTTTTGAATTTGAAGATTCAAAATTTAGTCGTTTATTTAATTTTTTTTAAAATTTGTGATTATCGAGAATATTTTTCTATTCTTTACAAGTAAGTGAAATGTAATAAAAATCTTGAGGATTATCAACATAGTCAAAGATTAAAGAAATAGGATGTATTTCTTGTTTAGATTTTTTATTAATAGAAAATTTTTCTTGTAATAATTTTTATTTCATTTTTTTTAATTTTTATAGTGAGAGTTAATCCTTTTTATAGTTTTTAAGTATTTGATCTTTATATAGTCTATTGCTTTTTATAATATATATTTATTATTTTTTTTCCATAAAATAGTTTTTTATATTTTTTTTATTAATAATTTTCTTATAAACTCATGCTTGTTTAGATTTATAATAACTAATATTTGAGATTTCTGAAGAATTAGATTTATATTTTTGTTTATTTAATAAAGACATTATTATAATTAAAAAATAAGAAAAATACTTGTTTATATATTTTAAATAATTTTAAATTATTTAAATAAAATATTTTAGTAATAGAGCCCTGCAGGGCCCTACACAGTGCACTACTGAATAACAAAATGCTTTATTATAGACTATTATGACTGCATATTGTGCAAGTATAACAGAACATAATAAGGATACTTTGTTAAGAAAAGGCTAAAGATCCTTTTCCAATATTACCTATAGCATCAACAAGTCTAAAATCATAAAAATCTAATCACTAGATCCTGAGATCGATCTAGATTTATATACTATTATATATGTTACTATATATAGTAATATTATTATATATAGTATATTAAATAACTTTTGATCTATTGGACCAATTTGAGTGATTTAATTACCAAAATAATCCTCTCTTTAAAAGAATTCTAACAAGTTTAAAATCATAAAAATCTAATTACTAGATCCTAAAAATAATCTAGATATGTATACTATTATATAATATATACTATATAATAATATATATAATAGTATACAAATCTAGATTAATCTTAGAATTGAGTGATTAGATTTTTATAATTTCAGACTTGTTAGAATCCTCTTATTGAAAAGATCATTTTGGTAGTTAAATCATCCAAATTGATTTAGTAAATCAAAAGTTATTTAATACACTATATATAATAATACTGTATTACTATATAGTAATATATATAATAATATACAAATCTAGATCGATCTCAGGATCTAGTAATTAGATTTTTATGATTTTAGACTTGTTAGAATCTTCTTAATGAGAGAATCATTTTGGTGGTTAAATTATCCAAATTGGTCTAGTATATCAAAAGTTATTAATTATTAAACTTTATTAATAAATTTATAATTTTGGTTAAAAATATTTTTTTAATTTTAGCCAGAATTAATAATTTTGACCAGAATTACACCTAACACTTTGGCTAACCTACCCATCTATCTAAAAATCAGCTGATTTCTGAAAGCTCCCTAACTTTTTATTTTTTATTTTTTTAATTATAGAAGTTAAATAAAATATAAATTAGATAAAATACTAAAATAAAAATTATTAGTGTTATTTTGGGATATCAAGGGTATAGATAAATCAAAATCTTCTATGACTTGAATAGTATCAGTAATATAATATAATTAAGAAGAATAATTAGAGTTTTCAATATAAAAATCAAAATTATTAGAGAAAAAACCTAAAAGTAAATAAGAAGCAAGATGATGTTTAATATTATTAGCTAAGCAAGTAGCTGCTATTTGTTGAGAGTTGTCAAATCAGATTTTATATTGATAGCTAAAAATAATATTTCTAACTAGAACTTGAGCTAAACTATAGTTAAGATAGTTAATTAAATCAAAATTGACTATAATTATGATTTGAATATAAAAGATTATAGTAAACTCTTGTTGATATCAAGTTTAAAAGCTATAGTAAAAGTGATGATACTGGATAACAAGGTGGCAATAGTATTTCTATGAACTAAACTGAACTGAACTTTTGGTCAAGTTCAAGTTTAGTTTAAAATTAAACTGAACTTGAACTTGAACTTTTTTTAAAAAAGTTTAGTTCAGGTTCAGTTTAGGTCTAGTTTAAAAGTTTATAAACATATTTAAGTTTAATAAATTATATATATATTATATATTGTCAAAAATAATTTATTTTTAATAATAAGCTATTTTCTTTTTTTAGAAAAAAAATATAAAACTTTTTAGATCTAAAAATAAGTTATTTATATAATTATTAGTAGTTACTATATAGTAAAATCAAAATTTTACTAAGTAAATTAATCTATTTATTAAGTAAAAATTGTTTAAAAGATCAAAATATATATATTTTAAAAATATTATATACATTAGATAACTTTTTATTAATTAACTTTTGATTTTTATATTCAATAAATATAAATTTTAAAAAAATTTTAAAAAATTCATCAAATATAAT